GGAACACAGGTAGCAAAGAGCACTTTTTAACTCCCTTTCTTATTTTTCTACCAAACCACTGTCCCCAGCTCTGTTAGTAACTAAATTATGCTTAGCTCCCAAAGACAGGCATCACTTCCAGAGGCTGGAGGCATCTATCATGCACTCATCTCTCCCTGCCAGACATAGCCTGACTTCCTAGCCAAGCAGGATCGTTTTCATGCAACGTTTTACTTACATTAAGGGCTTTTTTCCCTCCTTTTCCTCCTCTTCCTCCTTTTCCTGGGCCTTTGTTGTGAGCCACTTTTGACTGGAAGCTGGATACATCATTAAAACTCTCCTTTGTGTTCCACTTTGAGCCCTTCTTCTTCCCACCAAAACCAAACTTTTGGTTTTTGTATCGTCTTTTGGCATTTGGTCTGAAAAACAACCAACCAGCATCACTGCCTACATTCCTTGTTTCAGAAAGCTCTCAAGACACAAATATATACACTCATGGTCTCCCATCTACCATGATAAACCTTTCCTCTCTTAACAAAGATGCAAAAATTACCACATTTCAGTCTCTGTTCCATTTTGGACATAGTCATCTTCTCTTCAGGAACAGAAAGCCACCTTGGACTTACTTTAACATTAAACAGAACAGTTTCTTGTTCCCCAAAATTATCCCCTAAAAAGACTGAAAAATCAGACATTCTGTATTTAACTATCTTTCATTTCTGGTCTCACCCCTTCTTTGTCCGTTGACTTGCATTGCCTTTTTTATTCCCTTGAGATGACGTCTGCTCTTCATCTAGAAAGTCCAGCTTGTCAGAGAGACCTGCAGGAGTGAAGACATCACAGCTACATCTCAGAAAATACAAATTTTCACTCTAAGCAAGTAATAACAACAGGTCATCCTCACTGAAGAACAGCTGCTTGGGAGGTTTTTCATGCCACTGGCACACAATTCTGCATAGAAGCAGCTTTCCAAACTCAAGACCCAGAACTACAGACACAGTGACCACTTCACACTGCCCTGCACTGCTCACACACCACTACTGCCCTTACACATTTGTTCCCTTAGACAAGTTGAGTTTACCTTTCTGGTATTTCTTGACTGCATTCAACATATTTTTCTTCTCCTTTTGTCTCCTCTGCAGAACCTCAACTTGCACCTGAGATTAGAAGCAGAAAGTTAGTGTTGTTCCTTGCAGTGTCCCATACTTTTGTTCTGTTTTCCTTCAGAGCAGCTAGATGGAAGACTAGACAGATCTGTGTGTTTTAGCCAGACTCCTGTGGTCACACTTTTCCAGCTCCCCACTCAGGCTCTAAATTCTTTTCACAGATCCTTTTGCACATGTCCCTTTTGTAGCTCCTCACCTTCTTGCCATATTTTCTCATTGCACGGAGTTGTTTTGCTTTCTCAGATCTTTCCATTGCTTCTTGTTTACTCTTAAGTTTCTGTCGAATCTAATTAGAGAATAGAAAAAAACGAAATTTATTAGTAACACAAAAAAAAAAAGATAATTTTATAATTTCTGTACTGATCTATAGCCAAAATCTGGCTAAAAAAGACAAAACTCACACAAGAGAGAAGACAAAGCCATATAATAGGCTCTAAAGAACTGAGAGTAACTTGTCAGTCTATTTGGGTGTATGAAAAAGACTTAATAGTTTCTTTCTTGTCATTATTAAAAGTAAAGCACTGAAGAAAAGACAACAATCCTGTAGAAAATATAATTTTTGTTTCCTCCTTGTTGACAAACATTTTTATAAGGATGCTGCCTTATGAAGAATTACAAAAATTTCAACACACATCTTTGTGATTCAGTCTAGTGACTCCAGCAGGAGATAAAAACTGTTCTTCAAATGCAAGTCAGCAAAAGATGTGCAGGATTGACTTAAACCTTAGTATTGGCTAATTATCATTCTTCATCTTATCTAGAAATGTTCCATCAGAAAGCAGAATAGTGACCCAATGATACATTAATCTTCAAACTAGACTCCAGCTCATGCTTCTTTAATTTATACAATGTAGTCTTTTTAACAAATGTAAACCAAAAAATAAGAGTTCAATTTTGAACAAAGACTACAGGCAAAAAGGAAATGTGTGAAATACTTATTTCCTACACCAATCTAACCTCCTATCCAAAACATATTCATTCAATAACATACCATTTAAAATCACAGAAAACCGGAACACACTGACAATAAACAAAAGGTGTCTTTCCTTAAATAGGAAAAAAAGAATTGCTTTAAAGCCACAGTCAACTGCAAGTTTTATGACAAAGAGCAAAAACAGGCAACTTTACATCCACTGTTACACATACTAAGAAAAATTCTCCCTTTTTAATATTAAACACATCCAGGACAAAGTAGAAATTGTGTTTTTCTACTTCATCATCCAACCTGTTATAAAACTCTGCACATTGCACCAAAAACCTAAATAAAAAGAAATCTCCTGTCACAAAGTTTCAAACCAAATCATTGTCACAGGAATTGGAAAAGCGACAATGGTCAGTACTCATATGTCACACCTTAAATTTAATCCTTACCCCAGACTAAAACACTCACATTACACTGGAAAGAAAGCCACTCATTGCACGTACCTTCTGCATCTGTTGGTCTGATTTGGCCATCTCTGCAAAGTAATCATCCGGCCTCCTCGTGGGAACTTGCAGCTTATGCAGCCTGGGGAG